TAAATATATTTGATCCAGTATTATTTGTTTACAATTGTTGTTGTCCCAAAAATGTAAAGCCAAAAAACTAATAGTAATATGAAGTGTTGTTATAGCCTATAAGAAACATAAATAAAGACCTGTAAGAACAAGAAGAGCAGAAATCAATGCTGACAGTGTTTCCTAAGCCTATTGCTCCAGTCCGACCACTAGCACTCTGCAATATAACAGGTAATCGCCAACAAAGTTGGTGTCATCAACTACGCATTAGACCCGAACAAAAATAAGAAAATTACGAGATCTTAAACGGACCTGTGTCGGGAAATCTAGGGTTTGAGGTTGTTGGATAACTGGTGCAGGCGGTGAGTGGTGATAGACGGTCGGTTTGAGAGGTGGCGGAGAAAACAGGCGCAATATGTCGGAGCAGAAGATGAAGAGGGGTAACCCCACCATAAGCAGCTGGGCGCGACCCATCATCGTTGCTGAAAATCCCAGAGCCTGAAAGTCCGCAAACAATGGAGTATGAAGGGAAGAGTTCAGAGGTGGAGCTCGAACAAAAAAAAACAATCTGATTCTTGGGCTATGGTGGAATCTGGAGCCCAGCTTGGGCCTGATTTGAAAATTTGGTACCCAGGACAATGACTTTTACATAGAGCCATATCCATATGGATATGGGTGTTCATTTGAATGGAACCGAAATTTGGTAAAACAGCTTTTGTAACAAATCATGAACTATAATCAGCTTTTGTAACTGAAATATTTTTTTATGCCGAAAATATTTCAGTTTGATAATTGATAATGCCTAAAAAACTGAACATTTAAATTAAAAAAATGCACCGTTTACTCCTCAGTTCTTCAAAAATTATTTAGTTTACCCATTAACATTAAAAAGTGCATCAAATACCCCTGAAATCTTCAGAAATTGCATGATTTACTCCTGACCATGAAAAAGTGCACTAAATACTCCTAAATTCCTCAGGTATTGTACGATTTACCATTAAACATTTAAATAAAGACGATAATTCTAGGGAAGGGTACTTTGGAGAAGTCACAAGGGCCAGATTACTCATACTCGCAAATTCTGTGTGTGGGAGCCACACACTCCCTAGCTAGTATTTTAGGACCAACGGTGCAACATTTTAAATTCTACCGGGTATCTGATGCATTTTTAATGTTCAAAGATAAATCGTGCAATTTTTGAAAAATTCGTTGGTAAACGGTGCACTGTTTAATATTTAAGGTAAACCATGTAATTTCTAAATAGTTCGAGGGTAAACGGTGCATTTTCTCTTTCATTTTATTTTCATCTTTAACTCACATTCTTTCTTTTCAATTTGTATCACTAGCCATCTCATTCAAAATTATAAAAATTAGAAATACTCGATACTTTTTACCCATAGTGAGTCAGAAATTACTTAGTTTTTCATATTATTAAAAGATTATCGAACCACATAATTTCTTGTAAAAAAAATACTACCCGAAGTACAATATACAAAAAGTTAAAATGAAAAACTAACAATACAATATAAAGAGTTCTTAAATATTAATTGGGTAAAAAATAAACTCCATATTTATACATTTATAAATGAGTTAAATGCATATATAGTCCCTATAGTCTTTCATAAGTAGGTAAATAGTCCTTGTACTTTTAAAGATTGTAAAATATTTTCTGTGGTTAAAGAACTGATGCATAATTAGTCTCTTCTTTAAGAAAACGTAAAGCAAACAGAAAAAAGTGTATGTGTGAAAATGTGAAACATGTTTATCTCATTAAATAACTAGTATCACACTCATGCGTTGCACGGATCATATTTACGTTATTAAATTATATTAACATCATTTGAAAGATACAAATTGATAATAATCTAAGTGGTATTTACCACTTAACAACACATTGTCACCAAAAGTCAATTTTTGAATCCCATAAATTTGTAACAAAAATTCGGAAAACTTTCTCGAAATCTCTTTAAGTTTCGTCCCGCCAAAAATTTTTAGTATAAAAGGGTGGTTGGTAGTTTTTGTTATTTGGTAATTGCATAGTGTTTTGACTCTTATCAGTAAATAAACACTATCTTCTTTTAATTTTTCATTGAAAATGCATATATTTAAATCTCTAGTCTGCACGTGCATTCGATCTCTCTGACAGTGCAAATGAAAAAGTGCATATTAGCAATTTAGCATCATTACAACGTTGTGAATGTATATGTATTTTAGGTTAATTATAAAAAAAACTAACATCTGAATCATGAAAAATTACATCCAAAGATTTGGGTCCCCTAGCATAGGCGGGGAAATGATAAACTCTTATCACTCTTAATTTAAACATCAAAACTAATGACCTCTCTCTAATATTTTTTATATTTGTTAACAATCCCAAGTTACTCAAAAGGTAGAATTGAATGATTATATAATACTCCATCCGTTTTCAAAAACACTTCTTCTTTCATTTTTTCCACTTCCAACAAAACACTTCCCTTTTCTATTAAAAAACCACTTTTACCCTTACTTTTTCATACCCTACCTATCACATCATATTTTTTCTCTAATAATCTATCCATCACATCTTACTTTTACCCATTATATCAGGGGCAAAATTGGAAATCAACTATAATTTAACACTTCCTTATTTTTGCCCCAAATCAAAATGGGAAAGGTTTTTCCAAACGGAGGGAGTATTTAATATAATAAGAACTTAATAGGAACCTTAAAACTCAAAACGCAGTTCAAAGAGGGTAATTACAAAAAGAGTTTGAGAATGTCCGTATTTCTCGCAAGAAACTTTAAGTTCTTTCTCTATTATTTGTAAACTTTTTTTAATTTCTGGAATCAGCCTAGTCAGCATAGCCTTTTAATGAAAATGGAAACTAATTTGTATGCTTTTTTTTGTATCCTTGCAACCAACAAATGGAAACATAGTAAAAATTGTTTACCAAAATTAATGCCTACGCAATATATTTTTTTGTTTTCGAAATTTATTTTCCATTCCAGAATTTGATATCAGAATCAACCTAGTCAGCCCAGCCTTCAAATAAAAATGAAAACTTATTGGTATGTTATACTCTTTTTTTGTATTCTCCCAACTAAAAAATGGAAACAGGGTACTCCGTAAAAATTATTAATTGATGCTTACCAAAATTAATGCTTATGCAATATATTTTTATGAAAAATGCTAAGTTCACAAACAAATTAGTCAAAAATTTCACAAACTTATTAGTTATGATTTAAATTCTTTTTTAAAAATTATTCTAGACTATTTTATTTGTTTATTGAACTTCACAAATGGTAGGTTTGTGAACTTTGTGACCCTTTGATTTGTGAACCTAACATTTCTCATTTTTTTGTATTCTCTCAACCAAAAAATAGAAACATACTCCCTCCGTCCCCCTGTATTTGTCCACATTTGACTTTTGGAACTGTTCATCTAAGCACTTTGACTCATCAAATTCTCTCAATGTGTAAGCCTAAATATAGTCATGTATGATCTTGTTTGATTTGTCTTAACATATAGATTATTAATAAATAATTGTTATAATTTTTTAATATACAAATTACAAGATAAAATAGATTAAAGAAATGCATTGGATGGTGTGCAAAAATGAAAGTGGACAAATACAGGGGGACGGAAGGAGTATTAATTATGAATTAATGATTACCAATATGTATGAAAAATTTAATTTCTTCATTGATTTAGAAATTTTTAATTTTTTTATTTTCGTATTTAGATTAGAAATACTAATTAAGCTAGTCAATCTTTTTGTTTCAATTTTATAAGTCTATTTTGAATACAGCTAGACTTTCGTGGAATTTATAATGACTTTTTAAAATCTTAATTGAATACACCTAGTTTTTTATATATTTTAAAAAGTTACAATTGAATACACATAAACTTTCAAATTCCATTGATTTCTATTTAAATGAATAAGAATCCTTATACAATACACCCCCCTTATATTCTCCCAACCAAAAAAGGGGAACATAGTAATTATTAATTAATTCTTACCAATATGTAATTTTTTTATTTTCGTATTTAGATTAGAAATAGTAATCAGCCATCTGTCTGATTTTCAATCTGCCACAACTTTTCTGCGACGGAAAATATTCGTTGCAATTCTGTCGCAGATTGCTAATCTGCCACGAAATTTCAAAATCTGCCACGAAAATTGTCCGTTGCAAATTGACAATTTTCTTATAGTGAACGTACATCTATAAACAATCAGAAACATCATTCGTAAGTTTCATAGAAATTATGATATGGGCAATTAAAGTGTTAAATTATCGCTAGCTTTATATTTTTCATGCATCTGTCTTTTTTAGATATGATATTATCCTAATGCATATTTGTTTAGATTTTTTATTATAACTAAATCAAACAAAATATTTAGGTGACTATGATTTCTCCAAAGTTTATGAGGCAACAAAGACGATCGATATGCAGTCGCCTGCAATATGTGCCAAGAGGACTAAAAGAGTTTTACTATTTGAGAATACTTTTAACGATTTAACGAGAATGTACATGCCATTAGAGCTTGAAGACAATTAAAAATATTGTACATAACACATTCGAGGACGCATGCGAAGGATTGAATTAATAACCGATGATAAAGAATTTATTGAAAGTATAAAAGATGTTGCTAGATTATTTATTTTACTTTGATTTAAACTTCTATAATGTTAAAAAACGCATTACATTTGAAAATATTACATTGAAGCAGATAATTTACAGATATGACAAAATCTAGTTAATTATAAAGAAAACAACGTACTCCATTCGCCAAAAATCAAACACCAAAAGTAAAAGAGTGATGTTAGGGCCGGGACACACCAAGTTATACTCCACTCTTTCCTCCATCACCAATTATAGGCGAAAGTTTGTTATATCATTTTTTAATGTTCTGAATATTTTTGGGTCTTACCAACCTAAACTCCAAACCATTAAACTATTAAAGAGTTCCCCCCATTCAATGCCCATATTTCAGTTTTTCGTACAAATTATCAAGACTGTATTACTAGTGATGCTGTAAAATCCATTTCGTGGGAACAAAATCTTCACTTTTTAAATTGTACGGCTTTCCCATTGCTAGAGCCAGCTGAAGAGGCCCAACCAAAGAACAATAATAATAATATAAGATTTAAAAAAACCGATCGAATAAAGGGAAGTGCAAAAGTTAGAATAATGAATTTGTTTAATTATGAACACAAATGAAACGGACGAAATGGCATAGAGAGGCAGTCACTGATCTACTGGCTCCTCATATCGTAAGCAACAGCGTCTAGTCTAGTCTAGAAATTAAAGAAAGAAATGGCTCCTCCTCCTAAGCAAATCTACTACTCATCATCCGCCATTGTCTCTGCCGCTTATTGCCTAATTTTAATAATGTCATCATGTTTGATCTTTCAATTATCCCATAGCTCCTCGCAGGGTAATGTTGATGAAGAACCCCCAGCCGCCGCCGGTTCTTCCGACGAGGTTAGTTTCCGGCCTACGACGGCATTTGATGAGGATTTGGATGAAGAAGAGAGAGTTAGTGTGTCCTTGTACTACGAATCCCTCTGTCCCTACTGCGCAAACTTCATTGTGCATAAGCTGGTGAAGTTGTTTACTACAGATATTGGGTCCATTGTCAATCTCAGGCTCATCCCTTGGGGTAACACCCAAACAGCAACCACTAACAACGCCGCCTGGATTTGCCAGGTTCGTTGTTCATATATACATACAAGAGTTTTTCCTTCTCAAATCTCTCTCTGTATCTATCAATACTCCCTGCAGTCTTCCACAGTTATTTTTTGGTTTTTTTTTTTTTAACTTGAATCTCCACTACGCATGCAACTTCTTCTTAATTTCAATGTCCCAAAAATGTTTACAGCATGGCAGTGATGAGTGTCTGCTGAATCTAGTGGAAGCCTGTGCCATCAGTTCATGGAATAATATGGTAATTAACAAATTAATTAATTCAAGGCATGATTATATATATTATGGATGATGTCTTGTGTCAAACATGTATGTATGTATGCATGGGGTAGTTTGTTTTCAATAATAGTTAATTGGATGTGAATCAATGCGTGCATGGATGCAGGAGATGCAATTCAGGTTGGTATATTGCATAGAGCGTTTGCATCTAGAGAACAGACATAGTGAATGGGAATCTTGCTTTTCTGGCACGGGATTGAGTGAGGCTCCGGTTAGGGATTGCTTAAGCAATGGAGTTGGAACCTTTGTCAGTCCTCTTTTCTTCTCTTCTCTTTTTGAACTCGTTAAAAATGCATATTGACATCTTAATTGTGTCACCAATGCATGTGACTTTAATTTCTTGATGGAATATATATATATATATATATATATATATATATATATATACACATACATACATATACATATACATATATATGTATATGTGTGTGTGTGTGTATTTCGCTACAAGAAAAATGTCTTTTAGCTTGAGTACAAATCGTCACTAAAGTCTGTGTAGTTAAGTACAAATAATAGCACTATCGAGATCCTCCCATTACAACTATTTAATGAGAGTACTCTTAGGCCTTCACTACTACAGAAAATGTCAAATCAACTACCCCATTTACATCGGTTAAAGAGAAAATCGATGTAAATAGGGTGTTATATTTTGCCAGGGCCGGTCCCGAGAATTCCATGGCCTGGGCCGAGACAGGAAAAAAGGCCTAAAGGTCTTATTCCTAATGACTTAACGAATTAAAGTGTGTAAATAAATTATATTTGAATTACAATTAACGTAATAATAATTTACTAAAATGAGTGAATCAAAATCATAGTAAAGGGTTTATATATACTTATATCCCCAAATCAATGTTCTGGAAATTAGTCCGGATGTCGATCCAGACGAGCTAGTGGGTCAAGGGTTAAATAGTTGAACTAGTCGACTCAGGGGTCAATAGCTTGATCAATTATAATTAAAATAAATTATATTATTAGATTTTTTTAATAAATAAGGAAATTTAATGATACGACCACGGAGGCGCAGGTCGTAGGAGAGGAACCAAGAGGTGAAACGACGATAACGGAGCCGAGGAGAAGTGGTCGGGTCAGAGGTGCGCCACGATGGCAAGAGGATTACGATATGCAGTGATTATGTTTTATTTATTTCCATGCTATGAACATTTAATTATTATTGTTATGTAGATTTTCGTAGGTGAGCGAATTATAAGCTCCTTCGAGGGTTTCTTTACGGTTCTTTACCTCGTCGCATTTCTTGAACGGTCAGGATAGATAATTTTGTAATTAGGGTTTGGGGTTCTCTACCTATAAATAGAGGATACCTAATTATGGAATAATAAGAAAGACTAAACTCTCAAACCCTAGCCTCCTTTCTCTTTTCTCCCCCTGCCCCTTCGTTTCTCTTCTCTCCCTCGTCGGCAGCATCTGGTGAAGCCAGGAGGAGCCTAAATCCTCCCCCTTGAGTGATACTAGGTCGTATCATTGGTGCTCTCGTTGAGAGTCTTGTGCATCAACATGTCGAACGGCACCGTTAACACCGCTTTGTTCGAGGAATTTCAGCAGCAAATTGAGAGTTAGTTCTCGTCTCAAACTTCCGCTATGCAACACCTCCATCTCACAGTTCAACAGGTCCAACGTGATATTTCAGGTTTGCTTGCACGGGTGGATAAAACCAGCGACGACTCGGGCATGGGCGGCAAACCGCGTGGACCCGAAGCTTCTCACGGAGGTAATCCCATCTCTAAGCTTAAGATTGATATGCCGAAGTGCGATGGGAGTGATCCGCTAGGCTGGCTGTTTAAAGATCAAGAATACTTTACTTTTTATGGGATTCCGGAGGAGTCTCGGTTGTCGGCCGTATGCCTCATGCTTGAGGGTGCGGCGTTGGATTGGTTTCGGTGGAAACAGTGTAATCATCTCTTACCTTCATGGCCTGATTTTGTCACCAAGTTCAAACTCCGGTTTGATCCGCTTAATTACGTCGACTATTTTGGGTTACTCTCTAAAGTCCGTCAAACAGGATCGGTTCTAGATTATCAACAGGCCTTTGAAAAAGTCTTGGTGAATGTCACAGGTGTTGACGAAGCTAACTTGCAATCTTTGTTTCATGCTGGTTTAAAATCTCACCTCCAACATGAAATTATGCTCTAGAAACCAGATTCTCTCTCGGCATCATTCGCTTTGGCACGTGAATTGGAGGCCAAACACGCTGCCTGGGCGTCCTCTATCCTTGCTCGTCCTACTTCGTGGGGGAAACCCGGACAACTCAGCTCCACCCCGCCACTCTTGCCAACGCCAGGGGCCAAACCAACCACTGCCACGCCACCAACACAACCACCAATTCGGCGTTTATCACGAGCAGAAAAATTGGAACGGGATGCCAAAGGATTATGCTACAATTGTGACGAAAAGTGGACTAAAGGACATTGTTGCGGTCGCTTCCTTCTACTCATTGAAGACGAGGACGACGCGGACGACCAGCAGCCCTTGGATGTTACGGTGCTTGCTGCTGATGTCTCTTCTTTGAATAGCATGGCCGGTGTTACCACCCCCCGTTCCTTGCGACTATCCGGCATGCTTTCGGAGTCTGTTGTGGAAGTTCTCATCGACGGTGGCAGTACCCATAACTTCATCCATCCATCAATTGTGGAGAGGTTACACTTAACCGTTCATGATGTTCCAGCCTTCCGGGTTTATGTGGGCAATGGGGCGTCTTTGGTTTGCAACATGCAGTGCCGCGACCTCCAACTCCTTCTCCAAGGCACGGTTTTTCCAGTGGACGTGTACGTACTGTCCATCCATGGGCCGGACATCGTACTCGGTGTGCAGTGGCTTCAACTGTTGGGACGGGTCACTCATGATTATGCAAAGCTCACGATGGAATTTTTATGGCAGGGCGAACCCTTCGCGTTATGTGGTGGCACCCAAACCCCGAAGGCAGTCACGGTCCATCACTGCCACGCCTTGTACGTCAAACAAGAAATTGCGGCATGTTTTGAGATCACCCTATCTGACCATGTCTCGCAGAACAGTAGCTCTGATTTTAATCTACCCGACCACCTGCCGGCCGCGATCAGGGAGGTCCTCCTCCGTCACCAGTCCGTGTCCGACATGCCAACCGGGCTCCCACCGCGGCGCTTGGCAGACCATCGCATATTTTTACAGCTGGGTTCGGATCCTGTGAATGTACGGCCCTACAGGTACCCCCAATTCCAAAAAAATGAAATGGAACGTTTGGTGCGGGAAATGCTGGAACAGGGATTAATTCAGCCTAGCCGAAGTCCCTTTTCGTCCCCGGTTTTGCTCGTCAAGAAAAAGGACGGTTCTTTCCGTTTCTGCGTTGATTAACCCGCTTTGAATGTGGTAACTGTGCCCGACCACTTTCCGATTCCAACGGCGGACGAATTGTTTGATGAACTTGGAGCGGCTCGGGTTTTCACAAAACTGGATTTACGTTCGGGGTACCACCAGATTCGCATGCACGACCGGGACATTTACAAAATGGCATTTCGTACCCATGAAGGCCATTATGAATTTCAGGTTATGCCGTTCGGATTAACCAACGCACCGTCCACATTTCAAGCCTGCATGAACCGGTTGTTTTCGGCCTACTTACGCAAGTTCGTCATCATTTTCTTTGATGATATATTGATTTATAGTTCGTCATTATTGGACCACGAGAAGCATTTGGCAGTGGCGTTGGGCATCCTGGGATCTCATGATTTCTATGTCAAGTTTTCCAAATGCTGTTTTTGTACACCGTCCATTGCATATCTCGGACACATTATTATCGATGGGAATCTCAAGGCCGATCCGGAGAAGATTTCAGCCATGTTGGACTGGCCGTTACCAAACACCTTGCGGAAGTTGCGTGGTTTTCTTGGATTAACAGGGTATTACGGATGGTTTATCCGCCACTACGCTCACTTGGCAGCCCCTTTGACAGATTTGCTGAAAAAGGAGTCATTTCACTGGACACCGGCAGCCACGACGGCTTTTGAGACATTGAAACAGGCCCTCACCACGACACCACTGTTGCGGCTGCCAGATTTTGGGGTCCTATTCGTTGTAGAGACGGACGCATCTGGAACGGGTATCGGCGCGGTTCTCCTTCAGCAAGAACAGCCCATTGCCTATTTTAGTAAAAAATTGGGCGTCCGGAGGTTAGCGGCCTCCACTTATCATAAAGAATTATACGCCATCGTCGAGTCTGTTCAGAAGTGGAGGCAATATCTTCTTGGGCGGGAGTTTCTAATACGTACTGACCAACGGAGTTTACGGGAATTATTGGATCAAGTCATTCAAACGCCGGACCAGCAGTTCTACGTCCGCAAACTTTTGGGTTTCCGCTTCCGTATCGAATATAAGCCGGGCCGAACAAACTCTGTGGCGGATGCTTTGTCACGTAAGCCCAAGGAGAGCCTGACAGTGACCCAATTCATGGACATATCACAGCCCATAACGGAGATTTTGCAGCAGATTCGAGCGGAAAATATGTCCCAACCGGACCTGGTGCGTCTGCATGCAGCTCATCGGGGTGGTTTGCTACAGCCCCCCTACACTGTTGAGGATTGTCTCTTATTTTATAATCGCCGTTTGTGCATCGACGCAGCTTCGGATTTGCGGACAGCCCTACTTCGAGAGTACCACGACACCCCAACAGCGGGCCATGCCGGGGTCTCTCGTACTTTCCAACGTCTGGCCGCCAACTTCTTTTGGCTCAACATGCGCCGAGATGTCCGTCGCCACATCGGGGGGTGCGTGATCTGCCAGGCGACCAAGTTTTCTACCCAACCCCTGGCCGGACTTCTTCAACCACTACCAATTCCCCATCGGGTGTGGGAGGACGTGAGCATGGATTTCATCACCGATCTTCCGGTCTCTCGAGGATACTCAGTTATTTTGGTGGTCGTGGACCGGTTCTCTAAATATGCACATTTTGGTCCCTTACTCGCCAACTACGACGCACATCGCACAGCTTTTCTCTTCGTCGATATGGTTATCAAATTGCACGGTTTTCCCCGCACAATTGTGTCGGATAGGGACAAGATTTTCACAAGCACTTTCTGGCGAGAATTACATCATCTCAGCGGCACTACCCTCAACCAACGTAGCGCCTTCCACCCCCAGACCGATGGGCAAACGGAGGTGATGAATAGGACGTTAGAGCAATATCTCTGAGCATTTGTCCATGCACGGCCACAACGCTGGACAGTACTACTTCCTTGGGCAGAGTATTCCTTGAACACCAGCTACCACGCGGGCATCCGCACCACACCGTTTCAGGCAGTTTACGGTCGCCCACCCCCTGAGTTGGTGCCATACCGCGTCGGGACGAGCCAAGTGGCGGCAGTTGAGGATGTGTTGGCCGAACGGGAGGCCTTGATACGTCAGTTGAGGGATAATTTGAAGGTAGCCCAAAATCGAATGAAGGTGTTGGCAGACACCAAACGTCGGGAGGTGACATATGCGGTTGGCGATTGGGTCTTATTGCGCCTCCAACCGTACCGACAATATTCGGTGACACGGCGTTCATCTCAGAAGTTGTCTCTCCGTTTTTATGGGCCTTTTCAGATCACGGAGCGAATTGGGGAAGTGGCTTACTGTCTGCGTTTGCCGGAGACATCCAAAATCCACCCGGTTTTTCATGTATCGGTGTTGCGTCCATACCGAAGCAATAGGCCAGAGGTGAACGTTCTCCCCCTCCCAAAAACCTTGCTACACGGCTGTCCTATTTCCGAGCCGGTGAAAGCACATGCGTCGCGTCGGATATTACGTCATGGGGTGCCCGAGGATCAATGGTTGGTTAGTTGGAACGATGGATCGTTGGACGATGCTACATGGGAGCCGGTCACCCTACTCCGGGAGAAATTTCCCCAGCTCCACCTTGAGGACAAGGTGGCCATTGAAGGGCGGGGGAATGATACGACCACGGAGGCGCAGGTCGTAGGAGAGGAACCAAGAGGTGAAACGACGACAACGGAGCCGAGGAGAAGTGGTCGGGTCAGAGGTGCGCCACGATGGCAAGAGGATTACGATATGCAGTGATTATGTTTTATTTATTTCCATGCTATGAACATTTAATTATTATTGTTATGTAGATTTTCGTAGGTGAGCGAATTATAAGCTCCTTCGAGGGTTTCTTTACGGTTCTTTACCTCGTCGCATTTCTTGAACCGTCAGGATAGATAATTTAATTTTGTAATTAGGGTTTGGGGTTCTCTACCTATAAATAGAGGATACCTTATTATGGAATAATAAGAAAGACTAAACTCTCAAACCCTAGCCTCCTTTCTCTTTTCTCCCCCTGCCCCTTCGTTTCTCTTCTCTCCCTCGTTCGCAGCATCTGGTGAAACCAGGAGGAGCCTAAATCCTCCCCCTTGAGTGATACTAGGTCGTATCATTTAATTTGTGTTTTTTCATTCTTCCATCTAGCTTTTTTATATCATTTTGCATATATTATCACACTTTCTATTTTCTATTTGTATTATTTATTACAATTAGAGATAAATAATGAATATCAAATAAATATATACTAAAATAGAAAGGCAATACAATTATTTTTAAAAATAAAAGCTAGGTAATGTGTTTTTAGATAATACTATATAATCTGTATGTAACTAACACTTCATACTTATATTTAGTTGATTGAAACAAGAAAAGTAGAAGACAAAATTAATTTTAATATATTAAAGTATACTCCCTCCGTCCCGGAGTATTCGTCCAGTTTTGACTTTTGGAACTGTTCATCTAAGCACTTTGACTCATCAAATTCTCTCAAAGTGTAAGCCTAAATATAGTCATGTGTGATCTTGTTTGATTTGTTTTAACATATAGATTATTAATATATAATTTTTATAATTTTTTAATATACAAATACAAGATAAAATGGATTAAAGAAGTATATTGGATGGTGTGTAAAAATGAAAGTGGACAAATACTCTGGGAGGAAGGTAGTAATTAATAAGAATTTCTTAATTTTTATTGATGAATTTTTTTTAGGTATAAGTATTAATATTAATTTTTAGAAAAAAAACATAAAAAGAAGTTATTTTTCTACTTGTGTTTCTTTTTTTAAATAATTGAAAGTTTTATTAAACGCAAGTATGTTATATATCCTATTGGGTAACATATATAACAATGGGATTAGTAGCTCAAGTGGATGAAGTGTCCCTTCTCCCCTGCCGTATACCAAGGTTCAAATCCAGAAGCCTTCAAATTGTATTTCAATTTTGTATATTACGGAGTATTATACAATATTGATAAAATTTGTGCCCCTAAAAATATTGGGCCCGGTCCGGTAGGGCTGCTCGGCCCACCCTTGGGCCGGCCCTGGATTTCGCCAACCGGTGTCTTTTGAATCGTTTGGTAGTAATAACCGATTCAATACGCTATTGAATTGGTTATTACTAATAATTGATACAAATGAGTATAACCTTTTGATCGAATTACTTGTTAGTAATATCTGATTCAATAGCCTATTCAATCGGTTACAACTAACAACCGATTCAAAAGGCCGCGTTAAAAATAACCACTGAAAGCCTATCTCCCTTACGCGATCTCATTTCTTCTCTCCTTCTTCACCATTCGTCGTCGCTCGAGCCGCCGTCGTAGCCTCTCTTTCGCTGTCGCGGCCTCCCCTTCGCCGTCATTTCTTCCATATCTCTTTCTCAACGCCGTCGCCGCCTCCTCCTCCTACATGCCGTCAAAGTCAACGGTCTCTATCGCCACCTAGTTTCGGTTCGCCGCCTCTTCTCCTTATCCATGGTCATACTCCTCGCCGATGCTGCCACCACTCAGTCGGTGCCTCCACTCCTGTATATAACTCCAAGGTTTTTTCCTTTTCTTTATTTAAAATCATTATATTCTTAATGATTTTTTTGTTTCATGTATGTGCATTGTTATTCTCAAAAAAATATGTGCATTATTGTAATAATTGTTTGTCTTTAAACAAAAATTATTTTTGTGTTTTATTTTCGTAATTATTTCTGTCTTTAAAAATTGATTTCCCTTTATAGATACATTATTATAAAATATGATTTTATAATAATTGTTTATAATTGATTTTACTTTTTCAATTTTATAATATGTGTAATTCTTTTTATTTATTAAAAAAATATGGACATTATTATGAATTTTTTTATCTTTTTAACATAAAATTATTTGAAATTATATTGTAATATCTCAAATTTTAATTGTGCTTGTGTTTTTGAATTGTTTGATGCTACGTTCGCTGAGATGCTTTTTTGTAAAAATAACATATATTGACCGACCTAGACACCCATTTAAAATTTATTCATTAGGAGTAAATTTTAAATAGCTCCTAGTTTGGAGCCGTTCTTGAACTGCTTCCATCACTTAGTTGGTAGATGTATTTCTTTTTCTTTGTTTTATCATTTTTTGGTTTGACGTTTTTGAAATACATTTTTCGAGCTAGTGCATATGTAGCTACCTTACATCGCGCACTTATTGAATTATTAGGAAATGCTGCCAAAATTTTGATAGATCAAAGAAAATGAAATGCTTTTTATAGTGAGAGTGGTGTTTTCAAACGACCAATTCAAAGAGTCCCTCCCAGAATTGGTTCCAATTCTAGAGGGGATGATAAAAGATCACACAAGGGTAAGGCGACTTCGAGCGTCACCGGGCTCCAAAAGAAGAAGAGGCGCAGGAAGAAGAGGAATATCGCACGGCACGCGATCCAAAGAGGAAGAAGATATTAGGGCTTAGGTTTTTTTATATTCCATACGTAGGGTTTAACTCCCCTTTTTATAATAATACAAAACCATTAACCTATTAACTACGTTATCTAACCTGACGGTTCAAGAAAAGCGACGAGGTAAAGAACCGTAAAGAAGCCCTCGAAGGAGCTTATAATTATGCTCACCTATAAAAATCTAAGTACAATAATTTAAAAGTATTTAATAATAATAAAATGAATAAAGCTACGGCATATAGTCTTTCTGCCATGCCGGCGCCCGTCTCGTGCGTCGACTCCTTCGTGCCTCTACCACATGTGCTTGGTCGTCCAAAGGCTCTCGTTGGTCCTCGTTGTCTGGGTTGGGTATCATCATATCAGGGGACTTCTTAAATCAGTTGTTTGGAAACAACCGATTCAAAAAGTTCCTCCTAACACTGGCGCAAGTTTTAGAGACAATTTTTTGAATCAGTTGGACAACCGATGCAAAAATTATTTGCAGCAATTGCATCACTATTTTTTGCATCAGTTGACAAGCAATTTAAAAGGTCAAAAATAACCGATTCAAAAAGTAATTTATGTAGTAGTGCTTAAATAGTTATGAATGAGAGGATTGGAATTCCTTCATTATTTTTAATTAACTAGGACGGTTTAGTGACGGTTTGTGCTCACAAAAAGAAGATTTTTCTTGTAGTGTCAGATGACACCTTACAGTAAGATGACATGCTTCGGTGAGATACACCAAACTCACCACATTACACTGCAAAGCTCACCAATGGTCAATGCAAAGCTTGCTTGAAAATAAAACAAAGCTCACCACCTTGAACACCAAAATTCACCATTTTTAAATATTTTAAAAATCAAAATATTAATTAAAAAAATAACAATACCGGTCAACTGTACCACTGGTCAGCAGCGGCGTTCGACAATCGGCGGTGGCAGGTGGTGGTGGCGCGGCAGACCAGCGGTGGCGGCAGGCGGCGGTCAACGGTTAAAATCTAGTCAGGATCCATTCCTTTCAAAAAAAATTCAAAGTGTTTTGTCTTAAAATTTGGTGAGCTTTGTAGTTGTCCTAGCTTTACAGTGGTCAGTAATGAGCTTTGCGTCAATTGACTATAACACGTCATCTTACTTTAAGGTGTCATTTGATTAGTGTCGATCTCATACATACATACATACATACATACATACATACATACATACATATATATATATATATATATATATATATATATATATCTATGTATGTATGTATGTATGTATGTATGTATGTATGTATGTGTGTGTGTGTATATATATATATATATGGATTGACTCCAGTGAGATGACACCTTATGGTAAGATGAAGTCAGATGACGCTAGAGCTCACCACTGATCACTGCAAAGCTCACCATTGATCACTCCAAAGCTCACCACTGTCCACTGCAAAGCTCACCATTATTTTCTAACACTTTACTTTTTTTCAAAATTTGATGGTTAAATGCTTACAAAGCCCAACAACAAAGCTCACTGATTATCATTGCAAAGCTCACCGAATATGTGCACAAAGCTCACCACACTTTAAAGTTTAAAATGATTTCAAAAAAAACAAAGGGCGGTGGTGCTGACTTCCAACCGCTACAGACTACCGCCGTGGACCGGTGGTTGACTGGTGGTGCAATTTTATTAGCTTTTTTTAAAAAAAAGTGGTGAGCTTTGCATTGTTCCTTGGTGAGCTTTCCATTGACATTTGGTGAGCTTTGCGTTGATAGTTGGTGAGCTTTACACTTTGACCGCCCATGATCAATGGCCACCACCGATGACCCCCACTGTTGCCGTGGACCGGTGGTTGAGCGGTGGTTGAGTGGTGGTGCTATTTTTTTTAACTTTTTTTATTTAAAAAAAGTGGTGAGCTTTGCATTGACAGTTGGTGAGCTTTCCATTAGTAGTGTTGTGTGTTGTGTCATTTCATTGAAGCATGTCATCTTACCATAAGGTGTCATCTCACTGCAGTCAATCCCATATATATATATATATATATATATGTCATATATATATGTCATATATATATGTCATATATATATATATATATATATATATATATATATATATATGACATATATATATATGATTGCATTGCATGCAGCTAGAGGAGGCATATGGTGCTGAGACAGCTAGTCTTAACCCCACCCACAGGTTTGTGCCATGGGTTGTGGTGAACAATCAGCCTCTTCAAGAAGTACGTTAGTCATCCAACTCTACCTTTATATTTCCTGCTCCATCCATTTCAGTCTCTTTGGTCAAAGTTCAAATTATGAAATTAAAATTTGAAATAACAATTTTAAATTTACTCTTTTGTAGCACAAAAATATATGAATCTGAAATAAGTAGTGCCTAAAATGTATTGGAATTTGAGAATTCAATCCCATCCAAATCAATTCCATTATATTTAAGGTTTTAATTCAATTTCATGTACCAAAACGGATCCTGAGTGTACTTTAAGAGGTCAATACAAAAGTATTTCTCTATTAAATTTTTTAAAAATCAAAATGAGAATAATATTTATGGGACGGAAGAAGTATAATGATCTCAATTAAATATTAATATTTGCAAATTAAACGGCGGATCAGGAGTTTAATTTTAAGTAATTAATTAAGTTGCTGCTCATATGGGTGCAGGATTATGAAAACTTTGAATCATATATCTGCCGAGCGTACATGGGAAGCAGAACTCCAGAGGCTTGCAAGCAGTCATTTTCATCCGCAGTCAATATGGTTAAGAAAACGAGCAGCTCCCCTCTTCGAGTCTGTGTTCGGGAATAACATGTTCTAGAGTTCTCTTTTTTTTTTCTTTTTTTTGAGTGATATGCGGAGAAATGTTTTTCTATATTTTTTTTAGGGATTTATTTTTCTATATCAATTATGCAGTGGTTAAATAATTGGGAGTACAAAGTACTCAATATTAAAAAAATTTTAAAACTTTGTTCTGTATCACTTTAATGAAATTTGTTTATTTGATATTATAAACTGGCAAGAAATTCAAAAAAATTGATAAAAAAATGGCTCACTCCCTCCTTGTCCACATAAATTGGCAAGAAATTCAAAAAAAATATAAATAAAAAAATGGGTGGTGTACATTTGGGATACACCTTTGGTGTACCCTAGTATTGCTATAAATTTTACTCCCTCCCTTCAAGAGTTTTTTTTAAGTTTTAACTTCTTGCAATCATAATTTATAAACTTTGACCATCATTAATTAAATAGAATTTCTTTTAGATCTTAATATAAAAATTACTTTACTAGATTTATCTTATAAATTTTTTTAAAAATATTTTTTTATTTAATTAATACAGAAAAATTTGCACTAATTTTTATTAATATATTTTTTTCTCAGTATAGGACTTAAACTTTTTTATAATGTCCAGTAATGGTGGACATTTTACTTAAATAATGACTAATGAATAATGTCCAATGGTCTTACATTGAGAAATAAAAAAAATGTAGTCATACATTGAGAAAGTCATTATTTTTAGTCCTATTCAGGTAAAATTTCCATTAATATACTATATACTCCGTAATTTTTATTTAATTAGAAATCAAAGGTCAATTCTGATTGACTGAAAAAAGTTAACATGAACAGGAGGAAGTATTTTGTTAAGAAATCACCCAACGAAATAGGAGTAAACCATAGAAAAAATACCAAAATCGGAGTTTCATATTTTTATCTCAAAAATAGGTGTTCGCATTAAGATAATGTAACACTATATATGGATATTTTACAATAGTTTTTGGTAATGTATATGGTCATGGATAATTGACATTCTAAATGCTTTGGATGAAGATATTGGAACGTCACTGATATGTTACAATGAAGGAAATGTAGTAGGTGCTATAGCATCATAGACGAATCTTTGGTCATAGGACATGTTGTCATAACACTATGCCAAAAAAACATCACACTAGCGTTGATATACTACTTTTTTCAAAATCACAGTATTTAAAAAAACACAACATTGTTTGTTGTTATTGACTAGAGAACAGTTGTCATATTATTAAGCTGATAACTCTTTCTATAGTTATGAGAAAGGGCAAGTTATTAATACTAGTTTGTGTCATATGAGAATATTGTATTTGTTGCCACAGTTGTCTGTACAAAGTGAAGACTATTCTTTTTAAACACTTGTTTTATATGATATTTTCGACTTCTGTTCATTGAAAAAGTTATCTCATGTTTTGTAAACAGTAGTTTTGTAAACTAAATTAATACAACTGTATCTAATAGTAATTTTATAATCTATGTAAGACTACTATTTTTGAACAATTAGTTGTCTGGTTGTAATCATACAGACTACTATTTTTGGTCACATGTTGGAACACGGGTTTACGTCTATGTCTACTAAAGTCGTGTTCGTTTTATGACAGATTTTGATAATGCCAAACTGCCGTGAAAATTAAAAGATGTTGAACAAACTAAAGGCGAAGAAACATGGAATATTGATCAAGTGAAAAACGAGAACCAAGAACGAAGGCTTAGAATATAGATGAGTTGGTCTTCCTGTGATCAAGACCGGCATTAACTTTGCAAAATTGGCTCTCAAGGTTAAATTTATTTGAACACTTTTCATGCATCATTAAAACCATTTTCATAGGTTTTTAACAAGCCTAAAACACTTGAAGTTCTCCCAAACCAAAAACCAAGTCGTCCGGCGTTCGGCTTTCGGCGTTCAGAAACCGACGTTTGGCATTCGGTTATTGGAGTTAGTTTTTGGCGTCTGAACCAACCAAGTTGTTTTTAACATTTTATGATTGGTTCTTCTTCTGGACACATTCAAATACTTTTTCAACCAAAATGCGTCAAAAACCACCTTTTGTTTTATATGTTTTGGTAAAACCCATGTGAAACAGCATAAACTTGACTAGCGTGGTTTTTACCTTAATGACGTGGTTTCTAAGATATTTCACTTGGTTTCTTAGTCAAATACATTAAATAAGTGTTTTCAACATTTGGTTTTTAAATTGGAGAGCTTTGATTTTTGACATTGGCTTTTGGCGTTGACTGGCTAGCCATGGTTTTGGCAAACCAGCCCAACAGCGATGTTTGACATGCCAACAGCTAGGGGTGTTCATCAGGTCAAACTCGGATTGGACCGGTGTGGGACCAAATAACAAGCATTTTGTGGACCGAGGACCGGACCGATTAAGGTAAGGATCGGCCCAGGATCGGACTGGTAAAATTTGGACCGGACTAGGACCGGACCGAATAAATGTGAGTTTTTATTTTTTTTAAATTTGATTTTTTTAAAGTATTCAATTGCATAAAAATATTACTACAATTAATTTTCAAATGTGTAACATAACTAAATATTGTCAAACAATGTTGTTTTTAATTTTTTTTAAAAACTTTAAATAAAATATATATCCTCCATCCGTATTACATAAAAAAATTTACAAATTTTATTTTAGATGAGGAATATTCTTCTTCTTACTGCATTGTTACTATTTTGTAATATTTTGTTGTCTTTTTGGTTTTTTTGGCAAACAGATAAATTTTTTACTACTTTTGTTCATGAGATTGTTTATAATATTTATTTTTGTTGATTATCGTTTCATTATTGATAAAGTACAAACTTAAGTTATAGTATTGGTACATAAACTTGAAATGCATTAGATCTCTAATATAAAGGTAATGTTTACTTTTTCACACTTTTCTTATTAAAAATATTTAAATATCATTAGAATTGGCATCTTATTTTGAATTGGAATAAATTAAAAAAAATTATGAAACAATAAAATCAAAACATTTGAAAAACTTTTCGTATTAAAGTTAAATTAATTTTAAGTATAAGAAAAAACATTTAAAAACTATATTATAAAACTATATAAAAACAAATATTTAAAAAATTAAAATGCAACCGGCCCACCAGTCCCGACCGAAACCCGGTGAACCGGACTAGACCAGACAAGAACCCGAATAAGGAAAAAATGAGGACCGAAGACCGAATCGAATAAGGACTGGTCTGGACCGGTCCGGATCCGGTCCGATTTTGGCCGGGTTTTGGGTTGGTCCAGGTCCGGACCGAATAATGCACACCCCTACCAACGGCGCTATTTGGTGGTGGCACCTGAAAATCATGGTTTGACACTAAGTCCTCCAAAAACGATTATGGACTATGAACATCGTTGTTTAGCCAAGCCTAAAATTCTAGAAGTTTTTGAACAGCAATGTAGGAGTCTCTACATCGATGCTCAGCTCAAACTAAGAAAACTGAGCTTTGGGAGATTGTTTTTGAACAGCAATGTTGGCCCAGCAACATCAATGTTAGGCCAAAATCTTCCTTTGAAAGGTTTAGCCTAAACAACGATGTTCACTTATGAACATCGATGTTGGCACCTGACCGTTGGAAAATATTAAAGGCTAAAACTTTCCATGTTTGGAAGTCAACACCTTGAACATCGATGTTTCCCATTTGAACATCGATGTTGAGGTGATCGTTGAAGCTTCCAGTTTGAAAGTTTAAGCCTCGACAGTGATATTCAGTACTTGAACATCGATGTTAGGCCTATTTTCAGCAAATCCCATTTTAAATTAAATCTCACAAATTATGTCAATCACCCCAATCAACTCCCACTCGTTGGAGCCTATTTTGTCACTATAAATTAGGGTGTTTGGGTCTGCTTTTATCATCCAATCATTTCACAAATCACACTCCTTCATTACATTACATTCTCACTTTTTCATACCTTTTGAGAGCCATTGTTGTGAAGTTTTTGTTGTGTTCATGAGCGTATCATTTTACTCATTATCCGCTCTTTTGAGAGAGTTTTGTTCTTGAGTGTTTTTGTGTTGTACACACTTAAAGAGAAGCCTGTTTCCCTTGGTTGTACGAAGGAAGGGTATCTTCCTTCAAGTTGAAGTCTTGGAGTGCGGTATCTCCAAGCAAGTGTATTGAGGCTCGTGGGACTCCAGTTCTTAGGTTGTAACAGTTTGTAAAGCACTTGTAAGCTTAACAGAAGTAGTGTAGCTCGAGAGAGTCTCTCGGGAGACTTGATGTAACCACACGTTGTAACACCCTAATACGTTTAGGTCTGCAGGCCCTTTCGGACTAAAATATTAAATTGGTAATTGTAAAAATTTAAAACTTTTCAAGAACTTTTCTTTATAACAATAATATTTTTCATAACAGTACGAAGTTTTCAATGTTGTGGAAGCTTAAAAATAACAATCACAAACATAATTTATTTATGTTCTTCAATTCAAAAGCATCACATCCATCGCGACTATCTCGCCTTCGTCTGCCTCCAGGATCATGTCACATCATTCTTTCTATTAACCTGCGTGTAGCAAATAAAACATACTACACGCTCAGCGTTGAAGCTGAGTAAGCATATCTAATGCGTCGAACATTCATATAAACTGAATCTAAATTCATAATCTATCATTTGATATCATGCACATAATATTCAATTCAATATTCACCATTTATGATTTTGATGTTGTTCAGTTTATATCTATACATGTAATTCAGATATTCATTATTTCGACAGCGCTCTTAAATTATTCTTAATCTAAGGCCAATGATAGTAACAATACTCTTAGCTATTATTAGTCTAAGCACAAATCATAATAATGCTCTTAGATATTCTTAGTCTAAGGCCAAAGCATAATTTTCATAAACAGACTCTTAAATGGGCAATTAATAATCAGACACTTAAACTATCATTAGTTTAAGGCAATTGTTTTCAGACTCTTAACTGCAGTTAGTTAAGGCAACAACAAAATAGCGACCAATCAACGTCGGATCGAGGTATTCTCAGATGAGTGATCCTCTAGTTTGGTCTACGAATCCCATTTACGCGATTTTATCCAAATCACCGAATATTCATATTTCTATAAGTCTGTTCTAATACCAGATCTATTCTAGAGGTCTTCTAGATAGCCTTAATATCAATTATCTAAATGGATATATCTTAGAATTCTTCTAGATATGCTTAACAATACAAATCATTTCATAATTATC